AACTTTGAACAATCTTGATATTTTGAATGATGCTTTGTTATAAATGGGAGAAAAACTGCCCATCACTTTAAGAGCTCTTATCTCAATACAATGTCAGTATCAGTATGACTTAAGTTGTTCATAAATACTCAATACTTTTTACATATGTTATTCAATACTTAATCTAAGGGCTATGATATGCGGAGTTCCTCAGGGATCAGTTCTCGGACCTCTTCTGTTCTCTATATCGTCGCTGTCCAAAGAAAAACAAGAACCTCCAAAATGATTAAAACTTTACAGGAGAGGGGAAAAACGTTTTCTGCGTTCGATGTAAGTTAATGCAAAGAGATTTTATTGATAGCAATTCTGTACAAAACTTCTATCCATTTTAATTTCTTATAAATCTAACATACATTTGTATCTTTCATGTCTTCGTATTTTCTTACTTTAACCTTTTATTCACATTTTGTGACTTTAAACTATGTTTTCATGCCATGTTTACAAAGCACTTTGTATTACCCCTGTGAACTGTGCTGTATAAAAAAAAAAAACTTTCTATTCTCAGAAAAAAAAGTCATGATATATATCATGTGAAAATGTCTTAATGCCCACCCCTACAGCACAGTGATGTAAACCTTTTTTCCTGCCAAGACGAGAGCCAGGAGACTGAGAAGCAGTGATGATGCCTTTACTCGAGAGTGTGCTATCCATCAGTCTGCAGTAGCCCAGCCGGACAACAGTTCTACCCTACAGCCTTTTACACGGTGTGTTCATTCTGCAGCTGTAGGTCTATGTGTGAAGGACTATGGCAGAACAGTAGACATTCTGCTGTAAATACATACAAACAGCTGTTTGTGAAGTCAGGACACACCAAAATTCAATAATAAAATAATCCACAATGCTAACAAAGTCCAGTTCATAAAGTCACTGTAGAGGTGACCTGAGCACCGGTCTCTCATTAACACTGCAGCTAATGAGGCTACACGTATTAATGACAAACATTCAGCGAAGGCCTGTTTTTACAGCCCAAAAGCACCTCAAAGAAAAACAAATCTCTCAGAATCAGCGCTATGCTGTTTGGCAAAAATGCAGCAACAATTAAACAATGAACACATTAAGAATCATGGCAGCACAAAAATGTAACAAGAACTTCTACAAAGTTATTTATTTTATGTTTTGCTGCTGCTTTTGATTAAACATGTGGTTACTTTAATTTATTTTTGTAAAAAGACGTTGAAGAAAATGGGAACAGGGTACTGGTAGGGTAACGTTCATAAGGCTACATGATACCTGCATAAGCTTGTCATGACAACTGACATAACACATCTGTTATAAAGGCTAATTGAGCTGACTGATCAAAATTGGCAAATATAACCTTTATAGAGAATGACGCCTGTTGGAACGAGCATATATAAACATTTATGCAGAGTCATGACAAGCTTATGTAGGTGTCATGTTGCCTAATGAACAATACCCTACAGTAAAGTGCCTACTTTGGGACTTCATTACATGTGCATAAGCTACATACATATTTATAAAGCAATGCAAGTGTAGATATAGGCAGCTTATGTCAGTATTCACAGGAGAACATAAGATATACTATGAAAAAACAACTCAGCACTGACAGAAACTTCCGTAAAACAGTTGCTCCATTCATAAGACGGCTATGAAGCATAATGACCATGTAATGGACCTAGATAAGAACACTGTACACAGTTCTATGAAACATTTTGCTGTCCTCAAACTAAAATAATAATTTTTATAAATATTCTCCCATATTATTTTAGGTTGAGGGCATCTTTCACACACACTCTTAAAAAAGATGGTTCTTCAAAGGGTTCTTTAGTAAAGACAATGGACACAGATCCATGAACACAAAGAACCGTTTGCATGCTTAAATGGTTCTTTGTATGGTGAAACTGTTCTTCAGATTGATGGAGAATGTGTTGTGTATGGTTCTATTTCGAACCTTTTTGGAAAGGGTTCTATGTAGCATCATTTTCAAAAAGCTTCCATACAGAACCATATACGACACACTGAGTATAGAACTTAAGTTCCATTACTTGAGAATGACGCTTTGTTATAAATGAGGGAAAAAACGGTCCATCATTTTAAGAGCTCTTATCTCAATATGATGTCATAGATATATAAGCTACATTAGCTAGATATATGATATCTAGTACAGATACAGAGATACATAAGCTGTTCATAGATACACAAGCATTGTTTTTTACATATTCAATACTTATTCTGAATGGGAGGCTATGGTTCCTCAAGGATCAGTTCTCGGACCTCTTCTGTTCTCTATATCATCACTGTCTAAAGAATAGCTAGTACCTTCAACATGGTAACTTTACAGGAGAGGGTAAAAACTTTCCACACTCTGTATGTAACTTAATGGAAACAGATTTTATTCGAAGTAATTTTGGAGCATTTCTATTGGTGCAACCATAAAAAAATTTTCACCTCAATGTAAAAGGACAAATTAGGTCAAGCTCAAATTATGTATAAAACTAAAAGTCATAAAAAATGGATACTTGTTTATTTTTAGACCAACAACACTGAATACCAGAGTTACGCAACTGATACACAGTAATATCTGGCTCTCTCACCAGATGACTACAGCCCAACAGACTCACTAGCCACATTTACATGCAGCCTAATAATACGTTAATAATCTGACTAATAGCTCAATCAGAATAGAGTACGTCCATGTAAACACCTCAATCAGAATAGTCTAGTCCAATTGAGGCCATTCGGAATTCAGTTTCTGTCCGATTGATCGAGGTGGGTAATCCTGTAAATAATCCGTTAAATAGAAGAATAATATCCGTGTAAACGCCTGTATCTGATTACATTCCCTATCGGAAAGTTTAAGTCCGTTCTGATCATGTTCGTCACGTCATAGTGAAAGTTTATACCGTTCAACATGGCGGAGCAGAAACTGGTCTGCAGAGGAGACGAAGTTTATGCTCTGATCTTTAAAAGACGGCGGTGGGACGGACGTCCAGCTTATGTGTCTCAGAACACGACGTCTTCCTCTCGGCCTTCTTTAATAAGGACATGTGAAGGACGTTTTCCTGAGTCTGACATCATTTTAAAGCAATTGAAAACACAAGCGCTGCTCACTGCTGCTCATCTCACTCTGACTGGACTCACGTGATGCTCGTTGTCATGGTAACGTCTACACTAAGTGGTTCACTACACGCGCGTCATTTGGATCGGATTACTTCCTCAGGAAGTGTTCATGTAAACTGAGATTTTCAACAGATTGTTGTGTTGAGTAGAGTGAGAATAAACACCTCAGTCTTAATCTGTAATCAGAATGTGTTCAATCAGACTGGCAAAAATCTTTGTATGTAAACATAACCATTGTGTCAACGTTTGGAGCACATAAATAATTAGATGAGGAAAATTGTCTTTAATTAAATAAGGACAAAACAGAGATTATTGTGTTTGGCAACAAAGAAAGGAGTTAGTATTAGTGAACATCTTGATTCTCTGTTTATAATAGACTCAGATCATTTTTCCAGCCATATCAAAGCCATCACCAAATAGTCTTTGATTATCTTAAAAATGCAGCCAGAACTAAGGGTTTGGTGTCCCAACAAGACCTAGAGAAGCTCATCCATGCATTTATCTCCAGCAGGGTGGACAACTATAATTGTGTCTTAACTGGACTCCCCAGAAAGACCATTAAACAGCTGCAGCTCATTCAGAATGACCAGGGCCAGGAGAACAGAGCACATTACTGCAGCTCTAATACCTTAACACTGGCTTCCAGTTAGTCACAGAATAGAGTATCTCGGGGGTCTTGTTCATGAGTGATGGGAAGAGGGACGGTGAGATCGGCCGCAGGCTGGGACAGGCGGCAGCCGTAATGCGGTCACTGTACCGGACTGTAGTGGTGAAGAGGGAGCTGAGCCATAAGGCGAAGCTCTCTGTTTACCAGTCGTCTGCATCCCAACCCTCACCTATGGTCATGAGCTGTGGGTAATGACCGAAAGAATGAGACCACGGATACAATTATTTTTCTTCGGAGGGTACCGCGACCCTATCTGGACTAAGCGGGTAAAGATGATGAACGAATGAATGAAAATGTTTTTATTCTACTTTATGTACCTTGTACTTTCTTTTAAATGTTATTTTTAAGATGTCCCCATTGTTTTCACTCTTAAGCACTTTTTCCTTTTGATGCTCGTTTTACTTTTACTGATGTGAAGCGCACTGAATTGTTTTTGTGTATAAAATGTGCTGTATAAATAAAGCAGCCTTTGAAATAAAGTGTTACTAAGAAGAAGGGTGGTTTCATTCATGAGTGACTAATCCGTTTATCTGCTCCCGGACTGTGCCTTACGCTCCAGTGTTTATGACGGCGCAGCATATGGACCAACAGGCTGAGGAACAGACTGAAAATCTCCTCCATCCAAACTCACATCTTCACCCAGACAAAACAAGCCGCGTAATCATCAACAGTGCTGCAGCACCGTCCAGCTGAATCATTCTCAAAGTAACCTCAGCTTCTGAGGAAAGAAAAATCAATGATACATCACCATAAATTTATCCAGCGGACAGCAGGAGGCACGAGGCCGGCGTGACGCCCCTGCATGTGATTGTTAGGACGATCCAGAGCGTTTTCCTCTGAAAATGCTAGTGTTTGTTAAGTCAGCGTAGGGCTGAACGATTTGGGGAACATACCTAAGAGCGATTTTTCTGACTAATATTGCGACTGAGATTTAAACTGATGATTTTCTATAAACTGAGATTCAGACCTTTTTTTTTGGACAGTGGTGCTGTGGTGCCTTTCCTTGGTGCCCGTAAGCAGTTGTATTATGTGCTAATTAAAGACGAGCCAGTCCAGTGTGACTTATTCAGTTTAACATCCAGATAATCTGTGGCGCTTTATGGCCTCATTTGGTCGGAGCTCCTCACTGCTAAAGGCAGATCCGTCACAGCTGTGTAAATAAAGCTGAGCTCTGTTAAACATGTAGAGGTATCGCTGCACTGACTGAACTCCGCCTATTTCTATTAAAGAACTAAGAGAGAAAATCACCTCTGAGTTTAAAAAGCTCCCCATTGGCTGAGCTGACGATGAACATGTGAGGAGCTTCGTCGCTTGGGGTAACCGATGCACCAATCAGAGGGAGGGTCCCGCGAGGCTTCTGGCTCCGCCCTTGCTCATTCACAAAATACTGCAGCTGACTGAGCTCCGGGTCCAGGACAAAATACCTACAGAGAGAGAGAGAGAGAGAGAGAGAGAGAGAGAGAGAGAGAGAGAGAGAGAGAGAGAGAGCGCAACATATATAAAGAGGAAGATGGATAGACAGATAGACAGATGGACAAAAGAGGGAGAGAGAGAGATACAGAGATTTTTATTTAGCAGTGCTGGTTGTATTTAAAATCTAAATATTGTAGTAATTCTTTTTTTTTATTGCTAAGTTTTGGTTGGAAACAAAAGGGTTAAAATCATAAAATGACCAATAGAAAATTATCCAATCAGAATTGCTTTCTCTGTGGTATCTGAGTAGATACAGCCCAGTGAGCCCTCCCATTGGTTAGGACTTCAGGAGCTGAACTGAAGGCCTCACACATTAAATTTAACTACCACATAATTATGAAGTGACAGAGGAATCAACCAATCACATTCTGATTTACAATAGGTGGGACCACTTGTGTGAGGAAGAAGATTGTCCTTCTGGAGATTCTAGATATGTCACTGACTGTGAATATGAGCTGTAGTCCAACTAGGTTCTGGTTAGTTGTTAGGAATGGAAAACCGTGGCGGAAACTCTATGCCAGGAATCTTTACTAAAAGAGTCACTGTGACACGGACATATATAATAACGTATTCTAATCAAAACATATAGAACATCTGTATTCAACCTAGAACAGCCTAAAAATGTTCATGTGCATCAGTATTAGCTTAGCACTTACATACTATTGGAAACCTCATAGGGGTGCTAGCAGCATTAGGTGTTTTTTTATGACATTTATGGCAACAGCCATGGTCTACCACTTGATAATAGTATGTCATTCAGTGTTTGAAACCCCCAGACGCAAGTCTATTTGAGATTATTTAACAACTAAATTAGATTTTCATACAAAAAGATAAAACCAATTCCCATTACTTTCCTTCCCCGAGAAATGTTCATCACTATGTCAGCTGTGAGCATCGCTGAAGCACTGAAGATTAAGTTACCTCATTAATTTCCACACTTGCCAGCAGGGACATTCGTTATCCGAGCAAAAGGAGGCGAATAAAACCTAGAATGTTGTTCAGCTCAGTACAAACACAGAGTATGTTCTCATTAACAAATACAACCAGCATTATAACCCATTTAAATCTGTCACAAACGCCCAGCTGGGGGCTAATCGCTAATGGCCAGCTTTAGTGGGCGTAATTTGAAGTGGAATCGATGGATTGACTCACGTTGGAGGAAATTAAAGCATGCAGGAGGGGTTAGCTGTGATTAATTAGCCACTCAGTGTTATAAACTGAATTTCCGCAGCAGCGTGGACTGTAGAGCATGTGAGACATGAGCTGTCAGGTGGACTCTGCTGTCGTGTGCTTGCTAACTTTCAGACAAATGCATCAAAAGCTGGAAAAAATATACACGATGCACAGTAGAGATGTTCACAGGTACTCAGCTACTTGTCTGCCAGTTCCAGGCGCCAGTATTCACGTCTTGAAACGATGCCAGAGTGAGCAATCAGGAGTCTGGGAGAATTCCTGGTGGGCCAGTAGTGTTTTTGGGCCAGTTACTGTGAGCTGAAGTATAAACTCAACACAAATATAAGCACAAGAACACTCAAAATATGAATGTTATAATCCACGCATGCTTTAATGGGGTGGATGGGGTGGCCAGTTCTTCTCCCTCAAATCTGATTGGCCAGTCTAGATGCCAACCCCAAATTTCTGCCATGTTACTGGCTTCCACCTTGCTGTGGGGCGGATTTAAGGAGAGAGTGGTTTTGCTATCAGTGATCTGCGGAACAGCTGCCCAACCTATTTCCAACAGCCAAACCATTGCTTGTGCATTCACATTGCCACCCTACCAAAACTCGGTGCCACCAATTTGCCACCCCTGGTAAAATTTTCCAGATCCACCACTGCATCCAGGTGAATATCTGTAGAAACTGAGGGGTTAAAACAGCGGCCCACACCTCAACTGAGTCTAATACAGTGGACAGAAAATTCGGGTCGCAACCCAAATGTTACTTTTGTCCTTTCAACAAAAATCAAACCACCATTTATGCCCATTTTTTTGAAGTAACGTTTTACCATCTTCGCTGTAAATATATCTCAGTACATGCAAATGTCCGGGTATAAGCTAACAAATAAAGGAAATGCAGCCTTACTTTGCTCTGCTTTAAGCTTTAGCTCAGCTATAGCTGCTTTTCTCGCATCTCCAGCAGGAAACTTTTCCTCAAAAGTAGAACAGTTTCCAGTTCAACTTTTTGCGAGGCTGAAGTCGCTTCTCATTCGCCAGCTTCTTGTTTGAATTTTCCCGTTCCACCTTAAATGAATGTAACAGCTGCACCATTTAAGGTGGAACAGGAAAATTCAAATAAGGAGCTGTTGAATGAGAAGCGACTTCAGTTTCGTGTTTGACAGTTTCTCATTGCAGATTAAACATATCAGGAAACCAGCTGGAGTGATTATAAACGGAAATAAGACCATTAAATCTCCAAATTATCGATATTTTAAATCTTTCTCTTTTCTGTTTCGTAGCTACTAGCTAGGTGAGACTGTTGTCTGTGTTGCTATGGTGACCAGCAGTCTGCGCTGATCTTCAGGGTTAAAGGGTGAATCAGCAGTTCTACATTAACTCCAGAGTTTAAGACCATTTATTGTTAAACTGTGTTGAACGATCAGCAGAGCTTTATTTTACTGTAAAGGAGGATTATTTTATTTTTACCTAAACATCTGATTCTGCTGTGGAGCCTCAACAGGACAGTAAAAGAGCCGGAGCTCTGGAGCCACAAGTTGTCAACCCCTGGATTAGCTGAAGCAGAAGTCAGCTTCTTATTCTTAACTCCCGTTCCATCTTAAATGACTTTGCGGTCACATTCAGCCGCCTGTATGGGCGACAGTGACTACCTTCTGCATTGTTTAGGGTAGAACGCATATTCGAATACGAAGCTCACATCAGCCTCGAGAGATGAGTGTATCAGATTCAGCGTGACGGTGTGACTGACTGACTCGACAGGCAGCTCTACAGAGTTTAGGACTTATTTTGTATTACCAACAAGTTCATATACACACTCGAGTTTATGTACATTTAAAACTCTTAAAGAATATCTAACTGATCACGTTTTTAAATCCATGACCATCACTTAAACATGTTTACACGCTGCTTCTTTACTGTTTCAGTGCAAATGGCAGAGAAAACAGCAGCAGCAGCTCCACGTTTGTTTATTTCGTTCTTCTAGTAAAGGGAGTTCAGGCAAGTCCCGTACAGTTCAGCAGCAGCTGAAAAGTTGAGTAGTGTGTGGCTGGACAGTGTGAGATGCCCAGTCTTTTATAATCTGTTAAGACTTTATAAGTCGTGTAGTGAACCCAAGGCTTAAGGAGGATGAGGACATATCCGAGCAGGTGGGCAGTGAGAAATACTGACCTTAACTTACTTAGCTAGCATTAGTTTACAGTATGTCGACTGTCATGATTGTCACATTTAAGACAAAAGCTTTAGGCAGTTTTATCACTAGCACAGCCACTGCGGTTATCTCAGTGCAAGATATACATAATACGAGTAAGAAATGAAGATGAAAATATAAGAATTTTAGAAAAGATTATTTAGCAAGAAGGCAACACTGAATGCTCAAAATGAGCTAAAACTGTCACTGCTGGAACATCTGGTACAGTTTCAGTAGTGTTATGATTGTTTAGGCAGTGATAATAGTGTTCAATCGTTTGTTTTGCTGTTAAAATAAACAGAATTAAGGTATAGGGCCACTCGGAGCAAAAGGATTTTAGTCTAAGGTCAGTTAAAAGTCCCAAAACTGTTAAAAACTGCATCCGTCTGGTGTACCTGCTGTGGACAGGCCTTAAGAGGGAAGCATCTCCAGGACTCTCTGCTATGTTCAGTATGATAGCCGATTTCAGGTTAACTGCAGCTCAGAATCCACACTTTAAGCAGACCTGTCTCTCTCTCCCTCCTTCAGCAGATCAATGGAGCTTTAGCATGATCACAGGGAAAACCATATTGACCAGCACTGAGAACAAGTAGTGCTTACAACGCTCTGGATCAATAAGTGGACACACACACACACACACACACACATACACACAAACACACACACAGAGAGAGAGAGAGAGTAAGGTGAAAAATAAAAAACGTGGACAAAAATGTGGAGAAGTGTCAGACTGTAAGGTGGGCGCTACTGTTTTTAGCTTTATGCTAATGTACTTTAGTCCATGTTTATAGATGACAGTGAATCAGACAGTCAGAAACCACATAATCAAGACTATTAAACATTACTGACCATCTCCACACAGTCTGAGGCTTTAGACATGCCATGCTAATGGAAGGGGTATTATCAGGGATGGATTACTGACCGGCCTCTGACTGCCAGGGGCCTCGAGGGGCCCTCAGAGTAAAGCCTTAGGGGTCCCAAAGACTCTGGACAGTCCCTACAGATGTAGACATTAGTTTGGCCCTTTAATATGTACAAATGACTAAATAACTGAAATAAACAGAGAAATGTTAATCTGGTCTCAGGCCCATTTTCTGTTCTCAATCATTACTGAGGGATGATTAATAAGGCTAATCTGGTTTATCATCAAAACAACAAATTAATATGTATGAACACAAATGGGAACTATTACTGAATCTCAATATTCAGGTGTGTTACTAATTAATTATTTCATTCATTCGTTCATTAAAGTGAAAGAGTGACAGAGACAGACATATAGAGAGACAGAAACAGAAAAGGAGAGAGAAAAGAGAGGTAGAGAGAGGTAGGAAGAGTAAGAGTAAAAGAGAGAGAGAGAGAGAGAGAGAGAGAGAGAGAGAGAGAGAGAGAGAGAGAGAGAGATTTATGTATAATGAAGTGCTTCTGTCCAGCGTCAGGGTTTTTTCACGTCTGGAACGTTCGGTCAGCAAAAAGCCTCTGTGTTCTTTTTCTGCCCTCTGACACACGACTGAGGCTGGACCACAGAGCGCTTAGAGGAAAATGAATGGAGTGAACATTTTCTTTTACAGTCCTTCAGGTTCTAGGAATGAAAT